TTAAATATTTGAAGGAGTATCATAATGAGGATGGAGTAAGCTGGTTTTCTGCTGCTCCAGAGAATAGGACCCGGGACAATGGATGCAAGTTACAGGAAAGGGGATTCCAGCGCAACATTAGGAGGAACTTCCTGACAGTAAGGGCTATTTGACAGTGGAATACACTTCCTCAGAGTGTGGTGGAGTCTCCTTCATTGAAGGTTTTAAAACACAGAATCATAGAGTTGGAAGAGACCACAATCTGTCGGGGATGCTTTGATTGTGATTTCCTGTATGGCAGGGAGTTGGACTGGATGGCCCTTGTGGTATCTTCCAACTCTATGATTCTAAGTGCTATTTCACAGGAAAATGTACAGAATAATAAATCCATCCGGAAGTGGCATGGTGTACTCATCTTTCCAATCTGGGTAGGGAATGGGGGTGGCTCCATAATAGTATCATTATGTAACTGTGCAATTACAACTTCTTGGATTTAAAAAAATGGAGCAGGAAGCAAAGCAAATATTTATTTATTTAATCTCAATGCCGCCTTTCTTTGAGGAAGGGACCTAAGCCAGCTTACAAGATAAAAACCACCTAAAAAACCTTCACTGTAAACATTTTAAAACAATTAAAACCATCTATTTAAAACAACATAAAATTAACATAAAAGACTGTGGACACAGTGTTCACTCCAGCCCAGTTGGAGTTTGGAGTGACTACTAGAGGGTTGGCAAGGAAAACAAAACTGCCTGAAGTTCCAGACAAATCTTTACAATCAATCCTTTTAGAATGGGAGAAGAAAGATGAGTTGGCTAAACAGCAACCACAAGGGATACAACTGAACAATGAAGTGAATGGTAAAGGTGGCGTTAGTGACGGAAAAACTGATTTGAGTGCTGGTTGAGTTTTTCACATTTTGGTTCATGCAAATTGCTGCCTACTGCTCAATGGAATGTGGTGGCTTAGCAGTTATGATGCTGACTCTGATGATTGCAAGGTCGGCAGTTCAAGATCCAAGCACTGCATGATGGAGTGAACTCCTGTCACTAGTCCAAGCTTCTGTCCAT